TTTAGTTCGTAAACGATTTTTCTCTTTAGATGTGTTTCCCGGTTCTAATAGTGTCCGGAATGTTTCTCTGTAGAAGCGGGGCTCCCCTTGGTAAGCATGATGTCCTCTGGTTTTGCCCACGGCTTGTTTTGCCTGGCGACGCACCGGTGGTGGTTGTTGCTGTTCCTTTAATTGATGCTTGATACCCCACTGTGCGAATGTCCCAGAGCTTGCTTAGCCTCCTCGGTGCTGGGGGTTTTGGTGGATGCCATCTTTTTGGTGTTGTGGAAATTGGTGCATTAAGCACAGGTGTGCATCTGTCTGTTGGAATTAAACAGCATATCAAATCTCCCAAGAATTTGCCTGTCCCTTCTGTCCCCCACCCCCTCTTCTCCCTTGGAGGGGTGGAGTTTCACCAATCAGAAAGGACAGGACAATGCGTAGAAAGTCTCTGAAGAAGTAGACTCGGGCCCTAGACCCGTGTTTTCCAGAGTGGGTGATACTGCTGAAACGGGGGCGTCCCAGGGGGCCTGCAAAAGCAAACCCCTCACTTCACCCCAGATTATCGGCTGTCCTTACAAACGTCCTTCAAATGAGAGGGAGTGGGGAGGGCTGAGTCAACCCCCCTCAGGGGTGGGGTAGGGAACAATGGGCAATAGGCAGAATAGATTTGGAGTAAAGCCAGAGCCCGTAGTGGGTGGGTTTCCGACAGGGAGGACCCCTGTGTGCGGACTGTACAGGAGCATGCCATGAATATCTCCCGAGGTGCTTCTGCACCAACCCGGCCCTCCAACTCTGCCATTAATAGTCTAGCTGACTTAGTGGCTGAGTCACCCCGGAACTTCACGGAGGTGGGTTGGTGAAGGGAGGGAGAAGAATGAGGAAAGGAGGGAGAGGAGAACGGAAGGAGAGAAGAAGCCAGTGGGCAGGTGGGCGGTGGAAGCTCAGGAGAGCGGGGCCAGTCTTGGCCGGTTCTCAGGCATCTAGCCTGGGGCACCAGTGTGCTTGGAAATGGAGGTGCGGTGGGCTTGGCTCCAGCTGGGAGGGCCTGGGAGTTGTGGTGCTGAGTGGAGGCGGGCCTGGGGGTGCTGGGTGAGCAGAGCCTACTCTCCCAGCTGAGCAGGTGAGCTGGGCGCAGGAAATGGCGTGGCCACCTCCAGTCAGCTCTCCCACCATGCCAGGGCCACTGGCCGGAGATCCTTCGGGGCTCACCGGGCTCTGGTAATTGTGCTTGAGGGGAGGGAGTCTGGCCAAGATGGCTGCCTTTGCAGCTTTGAAAAGACCTTTCCCCCAAAGGCCTGCCCCCCTCCCCTGGGGGCACTCCTTGCCCCGGCTCGGGGCAAGTGGGTTCTGTTTTCGAGCTCCCAGGATGCTTGGGCTGTGGTGTGGGTGAGGGGGACCATGCCTAGTGAGAGGCCTGGCCTAGATGACCCTGCCAGAGGCTTTGGACCGAGGTCGGCCCGGAGGGAGCTTCTTCCTCTTCTCAATTCGGAGTCCATGTGGTCAGCGGGGTTTCCAATCTGTGGGTCCCTCTGCCAGGCCAGCTCTGAACACCCCCACCATGTGAGCTGGCCCCTCCAATGCCCCCAAACTTCTCTCGAATCCCCCATTACCATACACTTAATACCTGAAGACCCAGAGTCCCAGACGGGCGGGCGAGTGCTGGAATTTAAGCCCCAGAAGGCTGATGCTCGGAGGTCTCCAACAAGGTGCAAGTCTCCACGGGTGCCCAGTGGCCCTTTCTGACTGTGGTAGCCCTAAAAGAGTGGAGCCCCCCACTTGCCCTCAGCCGCCAGGGGCTGGGAGCCGCCTCTCACCAGCCCTGGGAGCCGGACAGAGAAGTCGCAGCTCTCGGCGGTGGCGGCGGCGGTGGCGAGCGCGCTCGACTTTGCAGATCGGCGTCTTGGAGAAGGGGCATGTGGTTCCTCAAACCTTCCTGGCTTCTGGGGACTCCAACACTGGAGTTTCAGGACCAGTGTCCAGCCCTCCAGTGGCTAGGTGACTAACTCTCTGGCAACCCCCCCACCCCACCCCACCCTGCCCCTCCGCATCAGCCTCTGTTGTATTCTCTGGGCACTCTGTCCCCAGTGGCCACGGTGGCTGGCGGCTTGGAGGTATTTTCTGGGAAGGTTAGCAAACCTACCGTCCCTTCAGTGCAGACCAGTGGTTGTAGGAGGAGGCTTAGAAAAGTTCCTGGGGGGAAAATCTCATTTTCTTTTTCATTCAGTTTTTCCTCCAAGTTTTTCAAGGTCTCTCATAGGAACAGGAGCGGAGCCACCAGCAGCAGCTGATGCAGCCACCTCCCAGCCCTTCGGGGACAATTCTACAGGGTCGCCCAAACCAAGAGGTCCTCTTTGCGGCTGCACATTTATGGTATTTGTGGTTGGGGATGGGACCCAGCAAGGGCTGTGCAGTGTTTTTATGCTGTTGTATTGGGGGAGGGGGGTAACTATGAACTAGAACCTCACAACAGACATCATTGTGGATGATTTCCTAGAGATGGATTAAGCCACTTAACATGTATTATTATTATTATTATTATTAATTTTTGGTCTTAGCATTTATAGCCACTCTCTGGGATGGTATTCATGCTCACTTGATGGGTGAGGAAATCAGGTACATTTTTATCAGGACCAGGCACCAATATTTGAGGGACCCAGCACTCAAAGCCAGATCTGATAGACCCCAGAGCCCAGGAGACTGTGAAGAGGCAGCAGGGGCAGACAGGGAACCACTTTCCTGTGAATTCTCTCATTGATAAGAAACAAAAACTCATGAAAATCAAAAAATTTAAAATACCTAGTCTTCTGTTCATTGAAGTTGAATGGAGAGTGCTGTCTTTGTGGACTATGTCCCCGCTGAGGCTATGGCCCTGGGTCCCGGGACCCATTCCCTCAAGGTGCTTGGTCATATCTAAGAAGTGTTAGTAAGTTTGCCCTCTCTGTACGCTTCACTCCTGGATGGATCTATTTGTAGCAAAAGTCTGTATCAACACCCTTTATCCAACGTATGTATATTCATAGGCACACCCCCATCCCACATGTAATTTTCATGCCTGCATGTGATTTTCATGGATCTAATAATACTCTCTTCTGATCCATGGACACTTTTCCTCAGGAGGACCCGAGACCAAATTTCCCTGGACAACGAAAGGAAGGAACACTTTGTCTATCTCTGTACAAAAGAAAGTAAATGCAGAAGAGAGCCACGGGAGCAAGTCAAAGAGCCATGATGGCAGACGAGCTTATGTGTTGGGCTGCAAACCACAAGGCCTGCAGGTGCCTCAAACCCACCAGCCCCATAAACATTTAGTCAGCTTCCATACGGATTTAGTCTGGGAAACCCTAAGGGGCAGGCAGTTGGACACTGTCCTGTAGGGTGGTGATGAGTCAGGGTCAACAGGACAGCTGTGGGTTTGGTTTGGGGAGCGGGGAGTCCACAGCCCGGAAAGCGCTCCGAGGGTGCCGGGCTAGCGCACTACCCGGGAAGCTGGGGGCACCAGGAAGAAGTCTGAGCGGCTCCCGAGATTTAATCCTATGTTCTTAACCCAAGACACTGTGTTTTGAGGGTGAAAATCCATCGACAGGAAGAGATACTAACTTCAGAAGTGAAGGAACACAGCCTACCTGGAGACAGGACTGGCAGAGGAAAGAGTAAGCCAGTCCACAGGTTCCAGGTGTAAGAGCTGCCACGGTCCATTGGCGGCTCTCAGCTTGGTGCCCCCCCTCCCTTCAGGACTAGCTTGAGGTCACTAAGAAGTGTGAACACTTCCTGGTGATAGAGAACCAGAGACTCTAGAGATGTGACCTTTCAATTTAAAGAAAAGAAAAATAAAAGAAAGAAAACCCCACCGTATCCCTACCCTGCACGCAGTGTTTCTTAAAACCCTCTGTGCCACCGGCAGCACCGACGGATGTAGAAAAGTCAGTTCTTTAATAAAAAAGAAAAAAAAAGAAAAGGAATTTCCAAGCAGCTGGGAATTTGAAACAAAACCAGTGGGATCCACTTCCATTTCTTTCCACATCATGGTGTTTATTAAGCGTTTTCCACACAACACCCTAACACAAACAAGGCTGAGGAACGGCCAGACTCGGTCCTAGAGAGCTGCTAAGAAACGTTTCAAGTTTTTAAATAATACCAAGCTGGTTTCCACACTCTCCCAACCATGACCAACTACAGAGCCTTTCCTCAAACTTTCTAAACTTCATCTAAATTCCTAAAACTATCTAAAGACGTTCGGAACAGATTGGCTGGGTGAATGTTCGTTCCCAGGTATGCTCTGCTGTTCTACCCGCCTGCCAGAGACCAGGAACAAAAAGCACGCGGAACTGAAGGCACCAAATATCTCCCGGCTTCAGGGGGTCTGCAGAGCGCCCCCTGTCCAATGGAGGCCCCTGGGGACCCAGCCAACTCTAGCCTGGAACCTTCTCATCCTGCACGGGCTGGAGTGTGTTTTAAACAGAGGCCGAGGAGGAGAGAAGAAGGACCAGGGGCTGGGGGGACCAGAGGGGAGGGGAAGGAGAAATTATTATCCCCTGGGGCAGAGTTTTTTACCAGCTCTTTGAAACCAGTTGCCTCTTTCAGTTCCCTTCCAAAGCTAAAGGAGCCCTGCATGAAGATGCACCTTTCCGGGGCAGCTTGGCCCAGCTCCCCTCTGCTGCTCTGGATGGAGGTTCTGACTTGCCCCGTTTGCATCGTGGTTTGGGGGAAGTGGTCTTCTCTCAATGGCTTCCAGCTGTGGGTTGGGGTCGCAGGGTGCTGGGGCAGGGGGGCAGCGAACTCAGCAGGAGCAAATCCGGACAAGTCCACAACCTCACCAGCAAAGGCCTGTGGGTCTTTTCAAAAAACGCTTCTCCAGCCCGCCAGCGGGCCAGCGCGCACCTGGGAGCGCTCTTCCCTCCCCTCTGAGCTGCGTCCTACAGCTCCTTCCCCCACGGAGTGGCCAGCGTGGGTCGTCCATAGGCGGGGCGGGTCGTGGCCCCAGCCCGTCTGGCCACTGGACAAGGGCTCCCCGACGCCTCTCACCGGGCCTCCTGCGGCCGCCGCGCCACGCTGGAGGGCTGGGGCGATGCGCTGAGGCCAGGCGGCAGGCGGCCCTCCGGGGAGCCGGCGGGGACCGCGAGTGGCGCCGCAGCCCCGGGGGGCGGCGGTGGAGGCAGCGCCAGTAGCTCCTCGCCCGAGGTCACCGCGCAGTCCTGCTCGGGCTCTGCGCCCCCGCCGCCGGTCCCCGCCGCCGGCCCGCCGCGCTTCTTGTCCTCCTCCTTTTTCCACTTCATGCGGCGGTTCTGGAACCAGATTTTGATGTGTCTCTCGGTCAAGTTCAGCATGACAGCCAGCTCCACCCGGCGCGGCCGCGAGATGTACTTGTTGAATAGGAACTCCTTCTCCAGCTCCAGCAGCTGCGCGCGCGTGTAGGCCGTCCGTGTCCGCTTGTTCTCCTCCGGCTCCGCCGCGTAGGCGCCGCCTGCGGGCGACACAGCGCGTGAGAGTGGCTCCCGAGTCCCGGTCCATCGGCCTCACCCTGCCCGGTACGCCTGTCCAACCCACTCAGCACCCGGCCCCAAGGCGCTGGGGCGCATGGGCCTCCGTGCCAACCAGCCCCACCGGGGCCACAGCCAGGCCCGAGGCCCCGCAAGCAAGAGCGCTTTGCCGGGTGGACAACGTGACCGACCATTTCCGGGGGCCAGCCACTGCCTCTCAGCGAGTGGCTTTTGAATGAGTCCACTTAACCTTGGCCTGGGTGCTGATGGAAAGGTACACACGAACTTCTGGAATTATATTACCAAAACAACAACAACACAAACCCTTTCATTGCCTGCTTGGTGGTTCAAACCCACCAGTTGCTCTGCTGAGAAAGAGGTGGCTATCCTGTGCCTGTAAAGATTGAACGCCTTGGAAACCCTGAGGGTCAGAAAGGGCTCGGTCCATGAAGTGTGCTCTGTGGTGGGCTGTTTTTGGTCTAGGAATTACCCAGCCCCATGCCCACTCCAAGCATGGGGCATGACCCGGTGGCTCGGTAAAACTACCCCCAGCGTGTTTTCTAGACTCTGACCCTGTTGGAAGCTGATCCGGAGCTGCAGAGAGAATGGGTGTAGTCAAACAGCCAACTTTTCGTTAGCTGGGTGCCGAACCATTGAGTGGCCCAGACTGCTTTATAAAGGCAGCACATGCCCTTTAGACCAGACTTAAAAAACAACAGCAAACCAAACCAAACAAAAAAAACCCCAAGCAACTTTTCTGATAACATCTGCATGAAGAACGCATTTTGCATCACGACCCGGTTCCTGCGGACATAACAAAAATGCCAGTCCTGTACGTCCAGCCAGCCTCCCCCAAGCATAATGCCAGTGCTCCTCTGATGTCGGCTACTTCCTTAAGAAAGCAACAACAAAGACAACATGCCAGGTTCACTTGTAAGGCACACTTGGGTGCAGGCTGCAGTGTGAATGCCTCACTTAGACAAGCTGTGACCATTATATCTAACGTCGGCTCTCTCCATTGTTTAGTTTTGGAATCACCTCCATTCTGAGAGTCGCCTCTCTCCATTGTTTAGTTTTGGAATCACCTCCATTCTGAGAATCCGTAAAGTACATTGTCAACCACTCTCTTTTAACCTTGGTCTGTTCCCGAGGAAAGGAAAGGTCTAATTTCCCGGAATCTGGAGGCAGAGACCAAGAAGGAGAGGGAGCCTTAGGGCAGCCAGCCACAGAGCGAAGAGCCGCAGAGGTGGTGAGAAAACGTGTTGCTGGGGCGGAGGGTGCCTCTGCGGGTCTGGGATCAAAGCCTGTGCTCAGAGGAAGCCCATAGGAGACTGGTGCCCCAGGCTTAGGGATCTGCTTAGCAGCACTGCACTCCCCTACCTTTTCCGTTCTGTATACCCGGGCTTTAGCCGCTAGGGATGCTGGCCAGCAAGTTCCACTTACCCCCCACCCCCCACCCCAGAGGCCGAAGCTGGGACACACTTTTAGGGGGCTGCTGTCAATCCCAGAGAAGCCACACCCCTGCCCTATTGGAAGGCAATGTGGGTAGGTGGGCTGGGCAGGGGCAATAATCTTCCAGACTTTCTCAGCCTAAGGGGAGGGCAAGGGCTCAGTCAGGCCTTCTGGGCTGAAAGAGAAATGCATGTGCCTTCAGGGACACTTTCAATGGTCCTCCACAGTCCTTACCGAACCACATACACGCTCTCAGGCCTCCCTTGCTGGGCTAAGGGTCTAGTGACTGCTAAGGACACAGAGGCTGCACAGGGCCCACTACCCCACTGATTGGGAGCCAGGATGGAGGAAGAGGGCTGGGAAGACAGGCACAAAAGGCCGAGACTGACTCTTAGCTGGGCTGCAGGCTAGGGTGGGGGGTGTTGTGGATGGAGACTGCTGGCAAAGGGGGAGGTTTGAAGCACCCTATTGGTATTAGCAGTGGATGAATAATACATTTCCTGTCTGGGACACTTAGGTTGCTTTTTCTGGGGCCTGGGACTTAAACTCACTGCAAGGTTCCCATAAGTGCACTCTTAGGGCAGAGGATGGAGGGGGAGTCAGAGGGCCACAGCCAAGAGGTCCCCAACCTCCCCAGCCTGGAGCCACCCTGCCAGCGTCCTAGGTCCCCTAGGAGGGAAGTTACCCACTCAAGAGGCCTCTTCCAGGGCCTGCCTTCTGCGCCCTAGGCCAGGGGAGAAAACTGCCTGCCCCGCAGAGAGCCTTGCAGTCCCCCCGCTTGGGATAGGGACTCGAACACAGCTGATGGGACGCCTTCCCAGGCATCCAAGGCCCGCGCCTGCCGTAAAAAACTCAGTCCCGGAAGAGGCACGGCGGGCGGGCGAAGCCCGGGCTTGGGTTGAGCTCCGGGGCCAGGGCACCCCTCCAGCGGCTTTCGAGGGCCCGGGTGGGAAGGAGCTCGAACTCCACTGTTTGCAATGCAGGCGGAACCAGAAGCAGCGGCGGCGGCGGCGCGGAAGCGATAACATTGTGTGGCCGCCGCAGCAGCACAGTCCGCGCCGGCACCGGTCGGCGGCTGCAGCGGGGAAGACGGTCCTGCGCGGGGATCTGGGCGGAGGTACGAGGAGGAGCCCCCGGCCGCCGCTCGCCGAGTACCCCGCTTCCGAGGTCACGGGGCTGGGCCAAAGCTCGCCTGCTCCTCGGCGGAGCGCAGGCCGGCCCGGGGCTTTGTCTGGACCCCGGCCTTAAGCCAGGCCTCCCGGAGGCCCCACCAGGCCGGGTTTGGCTCACCGGGCGGCCCCGAAACGGCCTGCCAGCCTGCCAGCAGCAGCGACCCTCAGGCCCTCGCTAGGTCCCAGGCGCCAGCGAGATCTGCTCTCACAAAGCCCCTCTGGAGAGCCCGGGGTTGGGGGTATCTCGATTTGAGGAGGGTCCAGCAGTTGGCGCCAGGAGCGAGGAAGCCTTCCGGGGTGGAGAGGGACCTGGTGATCATGCTGGGAAGGAGGAGCGTTGGACGGACAGACGTCCCCACAGGGTCCAGAGACGCCCGCGAGGGAGGCCAGTCTCCTCCGCCGCCGCGTCCTGGCCCCGCACAGGCGCAGGTCGGAGATGGGGAAGCGGAGCGGGCCCCCGGGATCGCCCGCAGGTGGGTGCGCCTAAAGGGTGAGGGACGGCCTTACCTGCCCACTGGCCTTTCCACGCGTGCGCCTTGGTGGTCTTCATCCACGGGAAGGGCAGCTGGCTGCGGCCCGGCTCCTCTTCGAAGGGCACGGCGGGCGGCGGGGCGAGCGCCATCGGCGCGGGGAGGTGGTGCAGCAGCGCAGTGGCCGGCGAGTCGGCCAGCGGGGGCACCTCGAACGGGGAGATGTCCGGGGGACTGCCCTGCTCCAGCGCGCCCAGGGCGCCGGCGAAGGGCGGCGGCGGGGGTTGGCGGCCCATGTACAGGCAGGCGGGCGGGCTGGCGCGGCACTCGGGCACCGGGCCGCGCTGGAAGGCGCACGGGTCCTTGTAGAGCGACGGGGCCGCGTAGTAGGGCTCCTCGCCGTTCATGGCCGCGGCGGGCTGGGGACCAGGCAGCTGGAGCCGGGGACTCGGCGCGGAGCTCCCGTTCCCGCCGCCACACTGCTGGCTTTGACAGCTCGGCTAGGCGTTCAGTGGGGATCCCCAGGTCCGGCCGGCGCGCCATAGGCTACGCCGCGCCCCACGTGGCATCGCCCGGGGCCACAATTGGCCGGCCGATGGCCTTAAGAAGCGACGCCCAGGGACCTGTGAGCACCTGCATTTGTTCCCACTTCCTCCCGCAGCCGCCCGTGCGCGCAATTGTGGAGCGCTCTCGAGACTGTTGGTTAGCTAGTCAAGAATGGGGACAGATTTCCACCGGGCTGCAGGGGACTCTGTGTTCTGGTCGTTAGGTGCTACCAAGTGGGTTCCAACTCCTAGCCGACCCACAGTGAGAGAGTAGAACGGCTCCCTTTGGCTTTCCTAGGCTCTAGTGTTTAGGGCAGCGCATCGCCAGGCCTTTTCTCCTGGGGAACCGGGTCCAACCATTCAGCTTTTATTTAACAGCTGGGCAATTAGTCGTTGAGCCTCCAGGGTTGCTCGATATGGCCATTGGCTCATTAACATTAATTAATAAATATACAAATGTTGAGGTAGCTAACTGAAAGCTTAAAAAAACTGTTGGGGACATTTAAAAAGCAATTTTACTGGGGGCTCATACAACTTACCACAATCCATCCATCCATCCATTGTGTCAAGCACATTTGTACATTTGTTGGCATCATCATTCTCAAAACATTTGCTTTCTACTTGAGCCCTTGGTATCAGCTCCTCCTTTTTCCCCTTCCTCCCTGCTCCCCTAGGGAGGGACCTTTTTTTTTTTTTTAAAGCACCCCCAATATAGCACTGCTCTAAAGGAATCGCCTGGATGGCTGTGGGCTTGGGTTTGAGGTCTCTAAGTTGGAAGCCATTGGCTCTTATTTTATTTATTGCAGCTTGCTAACAACCATCAACTATCCACATGAGAGCCCGGAGAATAAGTCCAGGAGACCAAATCTGGCCTTGCACCCTTCGGGAGCTTCCCGAGAGGAAAGGGGGAAGCTTCAGTTGTATTCAGAGCGACTGACTGACCTCCTGGATTTCATCCCAAAGACATTCGGTTCATTTTGCTTTTAAGAGATTGGGGCTCAACTCGACCTGGCTGCTTTTCCCAAGGTGTAAAGAGGAGAGAGTAGCGCAGGGGTGGGTCTTGTGCCCAGAAGCGGAAGAGGCCTGTGGTTGGCTTAGCATGTCCCGTGGCAGCCCCCCCCACCCCAGATCTCAGGGGAGGGAGAGAACCCCTCCACCATGGGCCTGACATAAGGCAGGCAGAAAGAGGGGGGTGTTTAGCAATGATGTTTATTGCTGCATCACATGCGAACAACTTCCTGCCTGCCCCAGCTTCAATCCTTTTGGTAACTACCTGGGAGTCCCTGTCACTTATCTGAACTAGCTGGCACAGAAGCCACCCGTGATAGGTGATAGTGGCACTCAACCCACCCGTGGGCCGGGACAGGACCAACTCCGCCTTACCATCTCGCTCTGGCAACCCTGCCAGCCTTCAACCCGGCCCAGGCGAAATGTGGGCATTTCCCCACCCCCCTGCACTGCCCTACGCGGTTTGGAAAACTCTCCATCTTTGTGGAAGGGGGAGTGTGGACGCCCAGGAACCAAGGAGGAGACCATCCCTGAGTGTCCTGCTAGCAGTGTGACCCGCCCCAAAGTCATGCGCCAACCCTCAGGCCTGGATGCGGTGGGGTTTCATGCATTTTCTCAGACTGGAAATGCCTGAGCTGTCCACAGCCCGGCTTGAGACGCCTTTCCGACAGACTTTCCATTTCACGAACCCCAAACCAACAACAACAGGTGAGAATGTGGTCTGATCTTATTCCTTCTCTCAGTGGGATGTCGCGGTCCCTGCGGATCTGTGTGTTCACTTTTCAAGGTGTGCTCAGGGCTCACAGAACGTAGGTCGCAGGGGGTTGGAAAAGCGCGTTCCGGGGTCCCCTAGCTTGGAGTTACCCCAGACTCCTCTCAGAAGGGATAGTGGAGGGAAGCCCCCAGTGGGTGGAGGTTTGGGGTGCTTTCTTCCAGGAAAGGGACCACCTGTTGCCCTAGGGACTTGGGGGAAGGAAAGGCCTGGAGAGCCGGACACCTAATCTTCGGGAGTCAATGAGCCTATTGTTGGCTGAGGCCCGGGACCCGCCGCTATCGTCTGGCCGCGAGTGGCCACATCGATCCGGAGGAGGGCGGCCCAGCCGAGGCGTGTTGACCCTCAGTGGTTATCGGCTGGGTAGCTGTGGGTTGACTTGACTACAAGGTTATGAACAGACCCCCTCCTTCCCCTGCCCCCGCGGGGTAACTCCGGACTGGGTGCATCACCTCCCACCCCGCCGCCCTCCCCAGCGGCTCCCACCTCTCCAGCCACCCCTGACCCAGTGGGTTTACTCAGCAGTTCTCCTCTAATTGCCCATTTCTGTAAATTGGTCTCCATTTCAACGCTTCATTTGCTCCCATTTAATATTTTTGCTCGGCTCTGCAGAAGGAACAGGGGCCACTCAGCAGAAAGCAAGGCTGCCTACCTCGATTTCTGCGCCGCCCCCCCCCCCCCAGCCCTAAATCAGGCAGAGTGGGGACCAGCAAACAGCACAGATGGAGAGACAGAAGGCATTGCGAAGGTGCTTCCGATTTCACAAGGAGAGCTTGTCTGCTAACCTTAATAAGAGGAGGCCCGGACGTAGTCCAACCGGCATTTGTTATTATTATTATTCTGCGGTTGGAAAGGGCTGTTAGAACTCTTGGATCGCTAATGATGGCTTATTTCCCTGGATGATAGATGGCACGTCACAATATTCCACGGACAAGAAGCGGGGAGGAGGAAGGGTGTCATTGGGCTCCTGCCGAGGAAGGATGGTGGGAACTTGGTCTCGCTTATTTAGCACGTTCTCAGGAGAGGGCAGTCCCTGCGGGAAGACACTGCGCTCTTTCAAGCGGAGGGTCTGAGTAAAAGAAGACCCTGCTTGAGATGGATTGGTTCAGGGGAGGCAACTCAGACTGGGAGGAGGACGCGGGCCCGGGTAGAACTTCTTTCTGTCCTATTTGCATGCAGTTCGAGTCTGAGCACTTAGTACACAAGCCTCTGTAAGATACAATCGCACCCCACAGACACCCCCCCTCCCCACACACACAGCCAGCGTGTGGCTCCTAGTTTTGCTGGGACCCAGCAGCACCCCCACCCCATACCCTCCATCTCATAAAAGGAGCCAAGTCCATTAAAGGTGAAATGCATTTCCGCTCCGCAGCTCCGCTGAGCCTGCGGGGGAGGGCCCCCTCCACGCCCCCTCGCCTTCACCGCCCCCACAGTGATCCCCTGCCATTAGGCCAGAGCCTTCCTGAGCCATTTAACAGCGGCTCTTATGGATAAATAAACAAAAAAGGCTGTAAACCAATTACAGTGTGGACAGTGAAAAAGCCGTTTATTAGCAGGACGCACTGGTGACTTCGCTGAAGCAGAGGCCCTCGCCTGCCCTGTCCCCTCTCCCCTGGAGCGCAGCGCTGCCCCTGGATAACCCAGGTTACCTAGGGTCGCTGAGTGGTCCGGTCCTTCCTCGGTTCTGCCTCGCGACAAGGGGGGGGGGCTGGGTTTGACGTGGAGAAGAAATCTCAAACCAGTTTTCCATTAGAAACGAAACAACGCCCCCAAACCCACGCCAGAAACTCACGGAACTCCAAGAGTGTGTTCATAATCCACCCGCGTGCAGTTACCGCCGCCGGAGCCCCAGATTTACACCATTCGCTCACGTTCCAAATGAAAAGGACCAGGTGGACTGAGAGCAGCCGCCTGTACGAACCGAGGCTGCAGGCCGCGCGAGCCAGGAAGCTACCGCCCTCCCCGGTGTCTTAAGAACGTTTGAGATTTCCATTTCCTCACCCCGGCAGGACCACTCCTCCCTCCACCCAGCTTGGAGAGGGGCCAAGGGAAACCGAAGTCCTTCTATGGAAGGGAGAGGAAAAAGGCGGATCAGAGATTTTTCCATCGAA